ACACACACACACACACACACACACACACACACACACACACACACACACACAGTAATAAAAAAAAGTCCCTAATAGAATGACTTCAAATTTATAGATGCAAACAGAAGTCTTCTGGTTATAATCCCCAAACACTTTACCAGTACTTGGGGGGCAAACATTAGAGAAGGATTGCAGAGTAAGTCTTCTGACAGGACTGGTAGTGACTTGAGTTATTTTACCGGAAATTCCTTATCTGCCAGTCCTAGAAGCCATTTACAAGTTTGTAGTTAATTCTAATTCACACTGAGAGGAAAGTGGCCTTTACAAGTGTCCTTCACTAGTAAGCTTCTTGGAGTGAAAGCCAATTTAATTACACCACCCGGAGGCTGTCACCGCACCTGGGGACACCTAGTGGTCAATCCCAGCAGTGCAGCCTTCTTTATTGTGCACCAAGGAAGACCCAGAGGAGGGGTGCCAAGTTCTCAGTAGGTTTAAGGAGTCCAAGACGTTGAGTCAGCGGATTCAGGAAAGGAGCCGAAGGGGAGATCACGTGGCAGGAGTTCCCTCTTGGGCCCACGTGCATGCATCCGTGATCGGTTGCTTTGGCTGCTTCTTGAGTTCCGCTGTTTTAAACTCTGTGTGTAGCTCTGGTGACCTCTCGGTTTCCAGGAAGAGGGGGTGATGAGAGTTTTAAGACTAGGTCAGGGCATCTGGGCAGGAGGGGGTTCCTTATCCAGCATCCTGTTTGGGCAGGGGTCTCCTAGAAGTAAAGAGAGCCTTGTTTGGAAACATGGGACCTCAGAGTTGGCCCAGCCTTCAGATCTGTCCTGATCACGCAGGGTGTGGCAGTGTCTCTTCAAGCCTTGGGTCAGGAGACTCTGAATGTCTGGATAGGAAGCTGGGGCTGCTGGGAGCAGAAGTGTCTTCTCTCTCTCTTGCTGTTCTCATGTATTAGACTTTCAGATCATCTTATGCCATCAATTGGCTTGGATTTGAAGGCAAGGCCCGATAGTCCGGCTTGACCCAACGATCAAAAAAGTAAACAAAACCCAAAAAAACCACTAGGCTTGAGGTTTCGCTCAGTGCTAGAGTGCTCTCCTAGTATGAACAAGGCTCCCAGTTTTATCCTCACCATTCCACAAAAAAAGAGAACAAAGTAAAATGTTTTTTTAATATTAATTTAAAATATTAAATATTTAAAAATTTTAAATTTAAAATATTTTTTAAATTAATCTTAAATTTTAAAATATTTTTTAAATTAATCAAAGAAAGAACTAAGCATAAAAATCCTGCTTGTTAGCCGGGCGGTGGTGGCGCACGCCTTTAATCCCAGCACTTGGGAGGCAGAGGCAGGCGGATCTCTGTGAGTTCGAGGCCAGCCTGGTCTACAGAGCGAGATTCAGGAACGGTGCAAAGCTACACACAGAAACCCTGTCTTGATAAACAAACAAACAAACAAACAAAAAAAAAAAAAACTCCACTTGTTACGTGTATTCTTCCTTCTTAGACATTTGAGTCTGAGGGGGCAGGTGGCCACTACAATGACAGCCCAGAGCCCAGAGCCTCTGAAAGTTCTGAGAAGTTTCTTTGCACTCACAGAGGTTCATGCACTTGTCCAAGCTGAAATGACTGAAAAGCACTTTTCAGGAAATTCATCAGGAAGGAATCCCGTGTTGCCACCGCCCTGTGAAGGTTCTCGGCCAGGCTGGAGCTAAGAAGGGTCCTCCTTTAAGCATGTACAGCATGAACTAGGTTTTAATTACACTCTTTGTATTCGTCCTCCGCGAAATACAGTTGCAGTGTGCATGCGGTGGTCAGTGATGACCCATGTGGCCGGGGCAGAAAATGTCCACCAGGCAGAGCAGTTGTAGCACCAGAAATTGCCCTAGCGTTTGCACCTGCCCTCCCTCATCTTGTAGCTCGGGAAGAGATTTCTTTATTAATTAAAATTTAGTAATGTTTTCATTTTTATCATGTACGTACTCCTTTTTTTTTTTTTTTCTTTGTCCCTGGGGATAAGCCCCCTGAGTGTCCTTTCACCTCTCTCTCTGGCCAGTTTCCCGTGCAGCCTGCGGTGACCCCTGGAAGGAGAGCGGGGACGTGTCGGACAGCGGCAGTAGCACTACCAGCGGGCACTGGAGCGGGAGCAGTGGCATCTCCACCCCCTCGCCCCCCCACCCTCGGGCCAGCCCCAAGTACCTGGGTGACGCCTTTGGGTCCCCCCAAACTGATCATGGCTTTGAGACCGATTCGGACCCGTTCCTGTTGGACGAACCAGCCCCACGCAAGAGGAAGGTAGGTGACCGGGGACTGGCGAGCATGTGGAGATGGCCATCCCCCGAGGAGCAGGGACTCCACGGGTCCCAGGTGTGGCCAGTTTTCCTTTGCTGCACCTCTTGTGAAGTCCCTAGACGGAGGCTGCTTTCTTTTCCTTACCGTGTTTTTGGGGGGCGGTGTATGTTTGTGGGTGAGCCTGCACAAAGGTCAGCCTCAGGTATTATCTTGAGGTGCTGTTCATTTCTCCCATCTCACCCCATCTTAGTTTCTGAGATAGGCGCTCTCACGGGCCTGGAGCTCACCACATAGGCTAGGCTGGGCGGCCCATGAGTCCAGGATCTACCGTCTCTGCCGCTCCTTGATATCACAAGTGTGTGCCACTGTGTCTTTTTGCTTGTTTGTTTATGTGGCCGCCAGGTCACCTCTCAGGTCCTCTTGTGCATGTTTCTGTGCTCTCCGGGAACCCCCTTCCCTAGACGTTTTTCTTTTGGGTCTGGAGGTCTGAGGATGGCAGCCAGCTGACGTCCTCATCAAGTGACGAGAGAGTCCCGGGGAGAGGATTCACACGCACCAGTTACTAAGACTTCTTTTTCCCCTAGAACTCTGTGAAGGTGATGTACAAGTGCCTGTGGCCCAGCTGTGGCAAGGTTCTGCGCTCAATCGTGGGCATCAAACGACACGTCAAAGCCCTCCACCTGGGGTAGGTACAGAGCTCAGTGCCTCTTGCCTAACGTGCCTTTTAGGTGTGCCTCCCCCTGCTAACTCCACAGGCCTCGCAGCCCGGAATGCTTCTGTGAAACGGCTTACCCCAGGCACTGCCCAGTCCCCCTCCCTGACCACAGAATGTACGATGCCTTCTCTGGGCAGGGAGACTCTTGACATCGTGGTCAAGGTTTGATGCTGTTGCCGGAGAGTGATCTCTTGTGTGTCTTGGGGTGGTATCTTCCCACCTGGGGTAGGAAGCAAGATGGTTCAGTTCTGGGTAGAAATAGAACAGTTTGGTGTAATCGCCGGTGAGATATTCTGCGGCTTAGACACAGTGGCCAAGTTGTACCTCTGCGTCTGTGTGTGGGAGTTAGGTCTGTATCAGCTCTGTGACACCGATGGGAGTCTCTGTACAGAACCCTCAGGGCAGCGCCTCCGGTGTGAACTGCCTCCCAGGGCCCGAGAGCATGCTGTGGATGGGGTGAGCCCCAAGAGGGCTCCCGCCAACATACATGGTTGCCATTGTGTGAGCCCTCGTGCCGGGAAGAACAGCTTCCGTAGGTGGGCATGTTCTAATCCCTTATGGTAGCCTCTGAGAGCAGGGTTCCTGGGTCTTTTCTTGGGTACCACCCCCAACTTCCTGGATCACACAGGCAGTCACTTCCTCCTTGTACCTTTCTTTTTTTCTCAAGACAGGGTTTCTCTGTGTAGTTTTGGTGCCTGTCCTGGATCTTGCTCTGTAGCCCAGGCTGGCCTCGAACTCACAGAGATCTGCCTGGCTCTGCCTCCCGAGTGCTGGGATTAAAGGCGTACGCCACCACCGCCACCGCCCGGCCCTCCTTATACCTTTCTTTCCCCTGGCTTCACACCGAGGCAGGCAGCATATCCTTAATGATGGCCAAATGTCGGTTCCACGCAGGGACACGGTGGACTCTGATCAGTTCAAGCGGGAGGAAGACTTTTACTACACAGAGATGCAGCTGAAGGAAGAGTCTGCTCTGGCTGTGGCTGCCCCCCCTGCCCCTGGGACACCCAGCGGCGGCGAGCCGGCCCCCACCTCCCGCGTGACCAGCCCGTCCCTTGCTCCTCTTTCGTTGCCCCCACCCAAAGGCCAGGCCTCTGGCCCGGAACACGCTGGCCTGGAGTCTCCCCTGCCGTCTGTCGCACTCAGCAAGTCAGCTCCTGGCTCCTTCTGGCACATTCAGGCTGACCACGCATACCAGGTACGTGTGCAGCAGGCGTGTGTGGGGGGCCTTAGTCAGCCTGGGGTCTCAGTGGTCACCGGCTGTCAGAGCCCAGGCCTCTGGGCACCTTGGTGGAAGACTGAGCCTTTTGGCTGAGTGGCTGACCTTACTTCCCCAGAGAAGGAAGAGGAAAGGCTGGGGTGTAGGCCGGTTGGTCGAGTTGCGTACTGAACATGCGCACAGGGCTCTGGGTTGAACCTGAGCACAGCATAAACTCAGTGCAGGGGCCCACACCTGCGATCCCAGCACTCAGGGTGGAGACAGGAAGAATAGGAGTTCAGGGTCATCCTCACCTATGTGGGGAGTTTGGAGCCAGCTTGGGCTGCATGTAAGCCCTGTGTCAGAAACAGCAGCAGCAGACACCGTAACACTCAGTGCAAATGAGAAGTCTAACCATGTCAGGTGTGCGACGTGAAGAGAGGGCTGACACTTCCAAGACTGGCTGGAAGAATCGACAGGATCGTGTAGGGCTTCCCAGGTAACTCCTTCTTCGCCCCGAGGAGTGTGTTACACTGAATGGTGCTGCTCTGAGCACCTACTAGGTGTCCACATTGGGTTAGGTAAGCCTTCTAGTTAGAGTAGGGCATGACCCCTGCTCTCTTGAAGTGCATGGTGGACCTGGGGTTAGCAATGAGGATTTGGCCAGGGCTAATTATAAGTTGTCAAAGTACCGTTTCCTGAAGACACGGGAAGACATGGCACAGGCCAAGGGAGAGAGCTGCATTATTCTCAGGGGCCTGGGAACGTTGTCATGTTGAGGAGGACGGTCTCGTTTAGAATGACCCTCACCCTGCAAGCTAGGTTCCCATTCCCATATGCTGGTTCAAAAACCTTTTCTGTGTTTGTAGTTGGACTTGAGCAGACTTAACCGATTTGCAAGTCCGTAAATAAAAAAGTAGTGCTTTCAACCAGGTGTGCTTGTCCACGCTTGTACTGCTGGCACCTGGGAGGTCAAGGTCAGCGTGGGCTACAGAGTAAGGGCAAACAAAACACGAAGAAAACAAAACCCAAACCAGTGGTACTTTCAGTAAGAAAAGCGACAAAATAAGCAGGCGCTCCTCACTCGAATTAGTGACCACTTAGTTGGTGTCTGGCTAAGGTTCAGCCTTAGCTGACTTTGTGGCATCTGGGCATTGTGGCCGGTACCGTTAGGGCTAGACTGAAGCCAGGCATCCCTGCCTGTATCCCCGGTCCTGAGGAATCGCCTGGCAGTTCTCTGTCCTTCATACTGCTCAGACTCAGAAGGCTTTGGACTTTTTTGCCTGAAGCATGTTCTCAATAGGTGATCCAGCTGCCGAGTAACACCCTGTAAGGTCTAAATCTTAAGGCTGGCACATAAGCGTCCCCAAGAGGAGGGTTACAGAGTAAGATTGGAGCCTCTCTGGAGGAAGGAGGCAGTGCCGATGATGGGTTAGATGCCTTGAGGCTGCTCATGGGAAAACCTGTGTAGCTGTCTTGGTGTTTTCTAGGCTCTTGACTAGGCAGAGATATGCCTTCTGTTGCAAATGGGACCTGAGGCACATGCTTCCTTAGTTGGAGCACAGGCTGACACCCTCTTGTCTCCGCAGGCTCTGCCCTCCTTCCAGATCCCCGTCTCCCCCCACATCTACACCAGCATCAGCTGGGCTGCTGCCCCTACCGCCACCTCCCCGCTCTCTCCGGTGAGTGTGTACTCCAGTACCCCCAAAGTTCTTGCATGCACCCGCAGGGCTGGGGGACCGTGTCACTGGCAACCTAGCACCTGGCTGGTGTTGCCTGTCTCTGCCGCCATACTTCACGAAGATCACCGTACGGCCTCCTCTGTCTGGCTACAGCTCCTCTCAGCCGCTCGAAGGGCACTTCAGGGCGAGTCAGGAAGGAGCAGTTTTCTCCTTTAGAAATGGGCTGTGACACTGTGCCTAGACACCGTGAGCGTCTGCGAGTGCTTGTCAGAGTCCTGATGCCCAGATGGAAGGAAGGGAGGGAATGTGGGCTGTCAGAGAGGAGAGCAAGACAGGAGATCGTAGGAGCATGCGGAGGCCGTGGGGGCTGGGCTAGAAGTCTCGGGCCACCGCGAACTTGTACCCTTGGCTCTGAACTGAGAGACGCTGCAAGTCCTTAGAACCACATAGGGGTGGCTCTCGTTTCAAGTGTCTGCCACAGAGAAGTATCTGTCACACACAGCAGAACCTAGTTGACAGGAGGTGTCACTAAGGCAATACAATGCTTCCATTTACCCTTTGTGTGCTAACTCCATCTAAGTCCCCGAAAGCCTTAAGGGTGGCTCCTGTCTGCCTGACCTGACCCCCCCATCTGCTGAGGATGTTCTTCTAGGGGAGGCTGCATGGTTCCCCGCACCAGCACCCGCTCTGGGGCTCAGGGAGGCATGCATGGCGGAGCCCAGGGTGGCCTCGCAGTCCTGGGGTGGGGGGGCAGGTCTCACGCTCACAGCTCTGCTTATGCCCCTCAAACCCAGGTCCGGAGCCGGTCACTCAGCTTCAGCGAGCCCCAGCAGCCGCCACCCACCGTGAAATCTCACTTGATCGTCACCTCCCCACCCCGGGCGCAGAGCACCTCCAGGTGAGCCCTCTGGTCCTTAGCCTTTGGGTTTCTGCCCGCCGCCGCTGTCAGCACTGGTGATGTTAGACTTTGAGTCTGCCCAACTGCAGTCTCCAAGGTTAGTCCCCGGAGGGAGGCCACCCTCAGTGGAGCTGGCTTCTCCACCTTGAGTCTCCTCCGGCTGTGGGCATCACTGACTTCTGCCAGAAGCCACCCTTCCCAGCCCCGTGCACGCGTTTGCCAGCTAGTGCTTGGCTGTGATCTGGGTCTAACCTCCGTTGTGTGATGCTACCCTCTCGTTTTCATTCCTTGTCAGGAAAGCCCGCGGCGAAGCCAAGAAGTGCCGTAAGGTGTACGGCATAGAGCACCGGGACCAGTGGTGCACAGCCTGCCGATGGAAGAAGGCCTGCCAGCGCTTCCTGGACTGAGCCTGCCTCTCCCAGCCCCGCTCCCCACCCTGCCTGGCAGCCAGAGGGTCTCCAGGCCCGCGGCCATCAGCAGAACACAGAGCGGCATGGAGTGGACGTGGGCAGCTGGGGCTCCATTGGCTAAGATTTAACACTTAAAAAACACTTTCTCCCCCTTGTGGGAATGTTTTATTTTTAAAAGAAAAAACAAAATGAAAATATTTTTTCCCCCCTAAAATAGAAGAGAGCCAAAATTGACCAAGGGTATTCTGCAGCGAACCAGAGACCAAAGAATTACCCCCTCCCCCACCCCCTTGGGGACTAGTTTGTACGCATCAAAAGTAGGACAGGATGCCTTGCCCATTTTTTTTTTTTTTTTTTTTTTTTGTGCTGAGCTGGTGAATCCTTTGCTCCTTTAGCTATTCCAGAATGGACTGTGAGCAAAATGAGTTTCCTTTTCTTAGGAAAAGAAAAAAAAAAGTAAGACCTTTCTGGCAGGTGGATGCCCCAGGGAGCAGTCGCGGGACTCTGGGAAGAGTAGGTGGCTGTACCTGGTGAGGTGCAGTGTTACTTCTGTTGGAGCAGCTTCTGGGGATGGAAGAGGGCAGACACCCTTCTTCGGTGGCACCTTTGGGATCTGAGTCCCCTCAGATGTTGGGTTGCATGCCAGTAACCATTATATGGCTTCTTCTCAAAGCCTGTCCCCCAAAATACTGAGCCAAAAGGCTAATATGAATTCAGTTTGAGAATGTGGCCTTGAAACACTACCCTGAGCATCCTTCCAGCACTGAGAGGAAATGTGGAGGTCTCCACAGAAACTTTGCTTCCCCCGAGTAAAGTCCTTCCTGAGGTCTCTTCCCTCCCGAGTGTCACAGAGGTTCTTGTCCTCTTGTCTGATGTGGAAGTCTTTGAGGATGAAGCCTTCTTTCCCAAGGGGGTTCTCTGGGAGATCCTAGCAGACTCTGCCTCTGTGCCTGCTGAGCATGACTTCCAGGACCCAGCTGTCTTGGACTGGAGTCCCAGGTGTCACAGGCTCAGGGAGTGCCACCAGGCCACCTCTCCAGGGACTGAGTAGTATTGACTCATTAGCTTGTCACGGAGACCATTCTCCTGACCACTGAGGCTCCACTGGTGGCCTTACATGGGAGACACAACGTCTGCTTTTCAGTCCGAGACACACTAAGTACACACAAGAACCTAAGAGATTGTGTGTGTGTATGTGTGTGTGACGTGCGTGAAGGGTAGTGGTAACCTGGGCTGCTGATGGAGGGGAGAGACGCGGGTGTCTTTGGTAGGGGTGTGTGTTTATAACAAACCAGGCCAGCCAGAGGTGACCCTGGGCCCTTCTGCCCCTCCAACCTCATGGAGATTTGAGCTGCCAGCAGAAGTTTGTTTCCTCTCTTTGCTCCCCGCGATGCTCAGCTTCCAATCTTACTGGAGAGGGGAGGGGAATATCGAGACAGCTTCTGGACATGGAGAGACCCCCCCAGGAGGCTCTCCTCTCCCCTTCTTAATCCCAGCGCCGTGGACTAAGCCTCCACTTCAGCCAGAGGCATTGTAATCCCAGCCTTGGTTTGGAGCTTGCGGTTGTAACTGACTGTAATGATTTTCTCCATTTGAAGCAGGCTTCCCATGCCATTGGCGTGCCGGGCAGAAAAGTAAGAGGGAAAAAAAGGAATTGATGGATGGTTTGAAAACTGAGGGCGTTTTGATTTTGTTCGGTTCTGTATTCCATTTCTGTGCAGCCTTTCACGTCTGCATTCTTTCTCTCTTTTTTCTGCCTTGGTAGCCTCCCGCCCACTGTCGTGGCCAGCCCCCCCTCCCCCTTTCCCCTATGTCTTGATGCTTTCGTATTGGTTCCCGACACACGACACACGGTCTGGCTTTGGGTTTGAAGGGCGAGGGTGGCTTGTGAGCACACCCAGCCGTCAGTCAGGCCCGCCGCTTCCTTCATCTCTCCTATCTCCCTGCTTTCCAGCCCCATGGGTTCGGAATCTGACTGGGTGAAGGTGCCACAGGTGTGCTTTTGAAAGCAACAGGACCTAGCGTGCGAACAGTTATCTCGGGGAACTGTCTAGCCATGTCCCCGTTATTCAGAGCGCTCCCGGAGTTACCTTCAGATCCGTGGTGGGAGCAGCTGCAAGTGAGTCTGCGCCGTGCATTCTCAACTCGGTGCCGCGAGCCCGTGGGTACTGTCTGTGGCCAGCCGAGGTCTCGGGTAACAACAGGCTTGGATCAGGGATGAGGCTTTTAACCTGGCCCTGAAAGAGAGCCGTGTTGCCACTTGAGACAGTCCTGAGAGCAACGGCTGCCTTGTCCCAGTGAGTGCAAAGCTCGATGCCTTAGAGGACCCTGTGAAATTGGACGTGGAAGCTGATTGGGTGGAAGATATCTGTTCTGTGACTTTCCGGTCACCCCAGGTTCTGACTTTACCAGGGGCAAATAAAAAAGAAAAAAGAAAGAAAAAAAAGAAAAAATTAAAAAAATTTAAAAAGATGAAAGCAAAACAAGAAGGGAGAAGAATCCCATCCGTGAATTTGTCCCGTAGACGCTTACCCCCTCCCCCACCCCGGCCCCCGCTGTCTTCCAAGTATTATTTTTACTGTTAAGATTTTTTTTAAATGTGAAATGAAATGTAATGTTTTTACAGCAATGATATGAAATATATTTTATAAGGAATAAAATGGTACATTGTCTGATCCCGTGTGTGCCCGCACTGAGTTCTTTCCCGCTCCTGCGATGAGCTGCAGGTGATACCGTGGGACACTCGTTTGTTTATGGTTTAGTAGGTTGGTTGGGGATGTCGCTCAGTGGAGGAGCACATGACTGGTTCTAGGTTCAGTGCTAAAACAAATTCAAGGAGGTCATATGTGCCACGGATGAGGCCCAGTGCGTGTGGCAGAGGCTCTCAAACCTTCCTGACCCTTTAATACAGTTCCTCGTGTTATGGTGACGCCCAACCATAAAATTATTTTTGTTGCTGATTCATAACTGTAATTTTGCTACTGTTATGAATTTTAATGTAAAAATCTGATATGCGACCTCCCCCAAGGGGTCACGACCCACAGGTTGAGAACAGCTGCTTTAACAGCAGAGGATAGTGAGGTATGGAGGTTGTCTTGCCGAGGGTGCATACTGGGGTGAGGTGGAGCGATGGTATTGGTATTGTAATCTGGGCAGTGAGTATTTTCTATGGCTTACATCCATTTTCAAAGGAGGCCATGTTTTGGGCATGCTGATGGGGAATGGGCTGGGAAGTTAAGAGAAAATAAATCACATTCTGTATATTCATCAGCTTTTTGTAGCTATAATAAAATAACCTGTGGCAGGCTGACTTTTAAAGAAAGAGATTTAGAGGCTGAAAGACCAAACAACATGGTTTTCAGACTCTTGCAAGGGACTTCTTGTACACATCACCTCCAACTCATACCAAGAGAGGGGTCACAGTGTGAAAATAGGAAGCCAGAGAGGCTGGGATCCCTTCCTCAGGCACCACCTCCCACTGCCACTCTGCCTCAAGCACATGAAGGTTGGGGACCTCCTGAAACATGTCCAAACCATAGCGTGGTGTCTACAGAAGGGTTTCTCAGTATCGTCTGCTCCTGCGAGCTTTGACTGTAGGTTTCACAGGTTGTAGAGAGATGATAGCTGAGCTGGCCTCTGTGGGCAGGGTCCTAGAAGCAGAAAGCAACCCCCACCCCCCAGCCCCCCCCACCCCGCCATTGGCTTATTCAACTTGAATCATCACAAGAGCCTGTCAAACCAGGCTGCAGGAAGTTGCCAGGGGATGTTTTTAACTGTTTAAAGGACATTTGGAGCATGAAGGGAATTGTGTTGCCCTTGTAAGAATTATCTGCCCCCATCCTCCCCACCCCAGGTTTTCTCTATGCAGTCCATTATGGCTGCCTCTTTCGGCTGAGATTCCAGGTGTGCACCACCCTGCGCAGCTCTTAGAAGACTTTATGGGAGTGAATGGAGTGCAGGAAGGAGACCTGGGATCTTTTTTTGCATTAAGCTGACATCCCATTCGGGAAAGGCAGGAGCTGGAGTGAGTGGCTGCTGAGAGACAGACCCAGAGGAGTGGAGAGCTGCTTCTGAGCCTAGCAGCTGTCTCCCGGGGTGGGTTCTAAGGCTCCCCGACATGACTGGACAGTGAAGGCCCCTTGATCTTTTGCTTTTTGACCTCAAGAAGTGTGAGCAGAGTAAATGAACCATTGCTCATAATTTACCCATTCTGTGGTACAATTGTCCACTGGTCTGTGTGGGCTCCGCATCAGCAGAGATGGCAGACTGAGAATCTTAAAGACGCAAATTGCATCTGTCCCGACCAAATACAGACCTTTCTCATTATTCCCTAAGCAGTACAATAAAACAGCTGTGTGCATGCTATTTATGTTGTATTAGGTAGCATAGATAGAAATAATTTTGATATACAGAGGCTTGTATGTAGGTTATATACAAATGTGCTATTTTGTGCAATGGATGATTTTGCAGCTCACAGGGGGTCCTGGAACTAGTTCCCCGAGGTTATAGAAAAACAGTTGTACTCTGTCATTTCAGCGGGAGCAAATGGACCGTGACAGCTGTCTACTGCATAGACATTGAACTGGTCAGTTACTCCAGTTCGGTTCTCCACATGTTTCCTGCCTGGACTTCGACTGTCACACACCTTACCATGTTTAGTGTTACATGAGAAAAAAGTAGGTGGGCCAGTGTGCCACTCCCTGGCTTCTGTCAAAACCCACGGGCACCGACCCAACAGGCTCTTTGCATCACCTGGGAGCTGTTAAAAAATAGTTTCCGCTGGGTCCAGACCTGGAAGTGGGGCCCGAGAGCAGCTGGAGAGACTCAAACGTTGAGAACTCCTGTCTCCCCCTCCGACCCCTGCTCCCACAGTCACACAGCCGTTTACATCTGGCATCATCATGCCCTTGCCTGTTGCCCTTGGTGCGGTCATGTCCCAGCATCTCCTTGCGCCAGATTTATGGCCCACATAGCTGTGAGTTTCCAGCCTGTGCCTCTGGGAGAGGCAGGCAGCTCTCACAGTGTGTGTGCGCGTGCGCAGAGCCCATGCTTCCTTGTATCACTTAAAACAGCCGACGCGTTTATTAACCATTTGCTCAGTAGAAGTTTAATGGAGAGAGCTGTGTTCAAACGACCGGTCAAAAAGAACAGCTCTTTTACAAACAGATTATGGCAGTGACGAGGCAAAACCCCAGGTCTGACTTCATGTTCCTCTCACCTGGCCCTGCGAGAGGGCAGAAGATGCGCGAGGAGGTGGGGCCGTTAAAATGTTAGCTGGAGGAATTACAAAAATACACTCTGATGTAGCAACAGGGTGGTGGTGAAACATGCCGTGGGGAAGAGGGTAACGACTGGGCAGGGAGGTGCTGTGGGTACTCAGTGCCTCAGGGAGGAAGGGATCCTGACTCCCGGCCGGCAGGTCTGGGCGTGGACACATGCTGTTCGGGGGATCACCTGGATGCCTGGGGAGACAGACAGAAAGGATTACAATGTCAGATCCAGTAGGTCTGCGGAGCAGCCGTCCATCCTGTTTGCCCAGGCGACTAGAGCAACCCAAAGTGGGCCACCACAGCAAGTGAAAGGAAGAATTCCCCAAGTGACAGAAGGGGTCCTCACTTGATGCCCGCCACTTACCTGCTGCTTTTGCCTACTACGGGCATGGGTGATGCACTGGAGAAAAGGGAGGCTGATGGGCTGTGACATAAAAGGCTCCCAGACAAGCCTTTTCCTGGTAACACTCCTCCCCTCCCCAGCTCTCAGCATCTATGTTAAAACAGTGTCCTTACAGGTCTCATCTGACACAGGCTCTCTAAGCTAGATGCTGGGAATACGGGATCGAGAATGTGCTGCTGCTGGTGTCTCAAGGCTGGACACAGCAGAAAGTATCAGAAGCATAGGTCACAGCAGGAGAGGCTGGCCCCAGGACCACAGCGCTGTCTAGGGCAGGGTCTGCATTGCAGTACCCTGTCTTCCTAGGCTGCCACTACACTTTTGAACAGGTTCTTTATTCCACTCCAGTGTTGGGTGGCCCCCTCGCCCGACTCCAATCTTCTGAGTATAGATTGGCATCGACATCTTAAGAATCCAGGAACAACTTCAGCAATGGGCACTGGCCAGAGTGGAAGGATTTCTATAATGGCACGAGGCAAGCTGGGTTGTGTGCATGCAGATAAGCACAAGGTCTCAGCTGGCTAGGACTGGCTCATTAACACACATCCTCTCTGGAACCCACCACCATGCATGTACAGATGAGGGGGGAGGGAGGGAGGAAGGGAGGGAGGGAGGGAGCGGGTTACATGGCGACAGGACAGCTATTAATAATACGCAAATGAGCTGGCTAATGTTTCCATCAAGAACTCGCACGTTGAGCAAAGCAGCAGACAGAAACCAGTTATCAGCCCTGTTATAGCACCTCTCGGCTGGAAGTATAATAGAAAACCAGAAAAGCCAATTGTCTGGCTCAGATAGTTTTTTTTTTTCCCAAATAAATTGATTCTTGCTAATGGGACTGATCTTAAACTGTCTTTAGGTAAAGAATATTGTTGTGGTTTAAAAATTAGATATGGGCTTTGGTGTCCCTTAAGGGCTCCTGTAAAGAATGCCATTAAGACTTCGAAGAGTTCCTGCCACTTCTGGAAGATTTACTACTGGATATCAGAAAGGTCTGGCTTAGAAAGAAATCGAATGCTTGTCAAGAGCAGAGTGCAAGTTCACTCAGGACCTTTGGAGACGAACCATTCTGTTAAGACAAATGCACCCCCCCCCATAAATATATTTATCTTTGGGGATAAACTTGCTGCAAACAAGTGGCCTATCAGCTATCAGCTATCAGCTTGGGCCCTGTGGGCTGGCCCCGTGCCAGGGTGTGGGCACCAAAGATTAGCATATGATGACTCCATCTCGAAAGAGGACCATGAATGACATGGCTACCTTGGATGTGTGGGAAGCAAAAAGAGAGGATGCATGCATTTTTCTTTTCTGCGTCAGAGTTGGGAAGCGGCTTCTGTTGGGGCAACATAATATGGTCAGACTAACTTGTGCTTTGTCTGAGGCTGTGTTTCCAAGCTGTCTTGGGAGATGTGTGAGACTCTGCTCATTGGCGTGTATGAATGAAAGGACACAGATTTAACGGTTGGACTTTCTCTTAAATCTACTGTGCTAATTCCTAATGCCACTCCCTAGTTATGTACTGGTGATGGCTGGAGAGAGCTGGATTTGGAATCAGCCAGCAGTAACTTGGTCTTTGCTGTGTGTTTTCTGAGGCTTTATATGACTGTGTAAGTGTGTACCCGGGGGATGGGAATGAAGAAAAGGAAGAGATCACAAGTGGCATCCTGGGAAGAGATGAAGAAAAAAGAAACTGAGGAAAAAGGACTCACTCTTCCTTAGTACATATTCTAAAACCTACTAGCTCCATTGGCTCAGATTCTGGAGGCCTGGTTCAGCAAGGATGCCATTAATGATAAAGAATTGGTCTTTCCTTGGAAAAGTGTGAGGATGACCTAATTGTTAGTGGAAGAAAAATAAGAGCAAAAAGCAGAACTCGGGGTCCCAACAAAAAGTCTTTGGCAGGGGGAAATGGGAAATATTAATGGTTTCCATGGAGTTTAGCCACCTTGAGATGTAGGGTGAAATGGATAAACTGTCTTTGAAGTAGAGCAGTAATCAGCCTTTTGCAAATGGCTAAGAGGAGGGCTGGCTATTGGTTTTTTTGCAGATAAAGTCTCTGAGGAAAGGTGAGCTGAATGGTTGCTATGGTAACTGGCTGTTAGAATTGGTCCACTTAACTGTCCCCATAGTAACTAAGCTCCTGGAGAGCTATAGAGGAATTAGTTATCTTAACATACTACTATTATCCCCATGGTAACCAGTCCCTGAATGGGAGTGGTCAGCCTCAAGGAGAATGGTGGGAAAAATCTTTCTCCCTGGAGAAATGGGTAGGAGGCAGAGATGTGAATTTCTTCACCAACCAAGCCTCCTGAGGGCTGGAGTCCTTGAGATGGGGTGCGGGGGAGGGAGAGGGATTGGGTGGTGTGTGTGTGTGTGTGTGTGTGTGTGTGTGTGTTTGGGGCTGGCCAATATGTTTTTAGGCCTGGGACAGCTGGGTATATGAGGTCACTTCTTGCCCCCTGCTAATTGGCGCCCAACTCACTCATGGGTTGCAGTGGCCGGTGCAGCTGGGAGGGGCTCCTTCTGGCTACACATTACCATTCTGGTGCAGAGTGCGCCGGCGCTGACTCGATTGCAAGCTCAGGACCAGGTACTGCCTCATAAACTCACTGAACCGCTTCTGGTTGGCCAACTTCCGGGCTGACTTCCGGGCCCCAGTGAAGCCCCCAAACCTCTTCTGCAGCTGCTTCTGCTCCACCTGCTCGGCATCATCTGTGCCGGGCTCGGTCTCTGTCGCTTGCACCAAGCTTCTGACCCGGGGCATTCGCTTTAGATGCTGCATTTCCGAGGCTTTTGGCTGGTAAAGAGCCGCCGACACGAGCTCTGGGTCAGCAGGGCTGAGCTGCCCAGAGCCGCTGGTCATGACTTTGGCGCATCCAGTCCAGAGAGGACTGGGCAAGACCTTCTCTTCACACTGGAGGATGCACACCTGCAAAGACACAGGGAGAGAAAAGGGGACAAAGCCAGGGATGAGCCAGGACAGAGAATCGTCTAAAGCCGTTCCGAGTCACGTGCTTCTGAAGTGCTAGTCCTCAAATATTGCGCAGCAGTTTATGTATGCGTGGGGGTGCGCATGTATGTATGCGCACGTGTGTGCAGAGACCAGAGGTCGACGCTGATTTTCTTCCTTTATCACTCTCCGCTTGATTTTCAATATAATTTTCTTTTATAATAATATAATATTATTATTAATTAGTCATAATTATAATATGATTGTGTGCGAGTGTGGAGGCCAGGGGACACTTATGTGGAGTCTCCTTCTACCTTTATGTGGCTTCCAGGAATCAAATTCAGGTCACTGGATTTGAGCAGAAGCACCTTTACCCAATGAACCATCATCTCACTGGCCCCTCCAGTTTATTTTTTTTGAGATAGGATCTCTTATTGACCTGGATGACCTGAGCCAGTTGGGCTATACTGGCTGGCCGGCAAGCCTCAGGGATCCTCCTGTTTCTGCTTCCCTAGTGCTGGGACCACGAGTATGTGCCTCCATGCTTGACTTTTACGTGGGTGCTGGGAATCGAACACAGGTCCTCATGACTGTGCAGCAAGCATTTTACTGATGTCTTGGTTAGGGTTACTATTGCTTCGATGAAACACCATGACCAAAGCAACCTGGAGAGGAAAGGGTTTATTTGGTTTACACTTCCACATCACAGTCTATCATGGAAGGAAGCCAGGACAGGAACTCAAACAGGCCAGGAACATGGAGGCAGGCGCTGATGCCGAGGCCATGGAGGAGTGCTGCTTACTGGCTTGTTCCTCATGGCTTGCTCAGCCTGCTTTCTTAAAGAACTCAGGACCATCAGCCCAGGGATGACACCACCCATAATGAGCTGGGCCCTTCCACAACAATCACTAATTAAGAAAATGGCCCACAGGCTTGCCTACAGCCTGATCTTACGGAGGCATTTTCTTAATTGAGGTTCCCTCCTCTCAAGACGACTTTAGCTTGTGCCAAGTTGACATAAAACTATCCAGTACCCACTGATGAGCCATCTCCTCAACCTTTGTGCCCCAGTTTTACGTACAGTTACTCCCTCCTCCAAATTTGCACAGTTTCAGAGTTGGAAACAGAGAACCCCCTGACTCTGCTCCATTATCTATCCAACAAAGAAACCAGGGGTCAGAGCTGTGGTTCATTTATCTTCAGGCAACCCTGCAAGTTGACACAGAATGGAGGCTTTCCAAATTATACCCTGCTGTAGCCTTAGGCTTTTGGAGCCTGGCATAGCTCATGAGTGTCACTCAGGTAGAAGAATTCTATCTCTCCCATTGGGCCAGGGAAGGACAGACTGGTTACAGAAACGGGGGAAGCACGGGATTGTATCTGCAGGCGCATTTTAAGGTCATTCTTTAACTGGGGAGATGGCTTGGTTGGTAAAATGCCTGAGGACCTGAGTTCAGTTCCCCAGCACCCATGTGAAAGCTGGGCATGGTGGTACCCTGGAGTGAGGGGTGAGAGGGTGGAGACAGGCAGCTCCCTGGAGCTCTACAGTCAGCCATTCTAATCAGTTGATGAGCTCTGGATGCCCTGAGAGAGACTGTCTCAAGAAACTAGGTAGAGAGTGACCGAGGAAGACACAGATGCACACAGGTGCACAGACATTCACATAGACCACACAGCTGTGTACACAACCAAATGGGAACTAAACCAAAGCCACCGTGTAAAGACTAACCCTAGGGTGACTGATTTTCATTCTATTTATTCTAGTTACTCTTATTTGTACATCCTTTATAGCAAGTAATATCCAAGAGACTCCGGATGTAGGCAGGCTGGGCATGTGGAGCTAACCCTGCAATCTGCTGGACCCGTATCTTCTTAGATACAAGCCAGGCAGAGCCCCAGGAACTCTCTGCTGCTGGCCAGCCTCCCCAAGCACCACATTCTCTAGTGAAGACCAGCAGATGGATCCATGCCATCTTACCAGCACCCTCTTGCTGGTCCTGACCTTGGTCCTGCCCTTCTGTCTCTGTTTGGGTTTCCTGGAAGTCTCTACTGACTTTTCTTACTATGAGCATTTTGGCTTCACCCCTGACTGCTGTGAGATATCTTTCTGTCTGCTGTGAATATGTGTGGCTCCCATAAATAAAGCTGCATTGGCCTAGGGCAGGGCAGGCTAAGGTTAGGTGGTACATCCAAACTGAAGACGAGACAAAGAAGAGTGGAGTCGGGGGAGACTCGGACCCACTGCCCAAGGAGCAACAGGATGTCAGCAGACTGTAATGCCATGGCCACATGGCAACTTATGGATTTATAGAAATGAGTTAATTTAAGAGAAAGAGCTAGCTAGCAAGAAGCTGAAGCCATAGGCCATACAGTTTGTAATTAATATAAGCCTCTGAGTGGTTATTTTATAAGCGGCTGTGGGACCGCGGGTGGGAGAGATTCGTCTGGACTGCTGGGCGAGGCAGGACCGGAGAAATTTCTGGCTACATGTTCCCAGCCTTACTCAGAAGAAAGTCTCCCTTCTCCTTGACCTTGCCATTGTGGTGAAGGGTGTTTCAAGAGCCCCTCATCAAACTGTGGCACTCTTGCCTGGCTCCCTGAACTCGGTACACAGGCTGTCCACTGCCTACCCAGAGCCATCTCTCTTCCCTAGAACATAACACCGGATTCCTTCCTGAAGGCGATAGTGCATCTCCCCACCTCCCTGTAGTCAGAGGTGGCTGGCAAGCCTGAAAGTGACCAGTTAGGGCCTGCACTGAGCTTGGGGCTGACTTGGCAGGAAGGGGCACCCTTTCCCTCCTTTCTCACTTTCCTTCAGTGTCTGGTTTGCAAGGTGGGCACTTTGGGTTGTCCTTCTGTTGCTGTCCTGAAAGCACGAGGTGGTGTCCTGTGCAGGAAGCCAAATGAGCATGGCGACAATATTCTGGCAGAATATAAAGACAGAAGACCCTCGAGCTGGGACGGACACCAGCCCTGAACTCACTTGTGGATCACCAAATCTCTGTTTCAATGGCTCACTGTTACCTCTAGGTCTTTGATACCAGCAAGTGAATTTAATTCTCATGTATTATATTCTCCCCACTTGCTGTACTTTTGTTTCTGCTGCTGTGATAAAACATCCTGACCAAAAGCAACTTAGGGGAGAAAGGGTTTATGTACGATTCCAGGTTACCGTCCATCATTGCAGGGACGTCAGAGCATCAGGAACTTGAGAGACAACTGGTCATGTCACATCCACAGACAAAGGCAAGGAGACATGAATGTTTGCAGGCTTACGTGCTTGCTTGTGCTCAGCTCTTGCATAGTTCAGGAGCCCCTGCCTAGGGAATGGTGCTGCCCACAGTAGGCTGGGTGTTCTCACATCAGTTAAGGCAATCCCCACAGACATGCTCACAGGCCAACCCAATACAGCCTATCCCTTATTGAGATCCTTGGGCTATGTGATCCTAGCTTGTGTTAAGTCGGCAAATCAAGTTAACCATCACACCACTTTAGTCCACCGTTTTGCTTGCCTTCTCTGGTTCTCTCTGGGTGTGGTTTGTTTTCCCAAAGTTGAATTTTTTGGTTTTTCGAGACAGGGTTTCTCTGTGTAGCTTTGCGCCTTTCCTGGAACTCACTCTGTAGCCCAGGCTGCCCTTGAACTCACAGAGATCCGCCTGGCTCTGCCTCCCAAGTGCTGGGATTAAAGGTGTGCGTCACCACCGCCCGGCTCCAAAGTTGAATTTTCAAAAAAAAAGATTTATTTATTTTTGTGTGTATGCACATATGGGTGTGGGTGCCGGTGGAGGCCAGCAGAGAACCCCCTGAAGCTGGAGTTACAGCCATTTGTAAGCTGGTAGGTATGGGTGCTGGAACCTGAACTCGGGTCGTCTGGAAGAGTTAGGAAGTGCCCTTAGCCAGGGAACCATGTCTTTAGCTCTAAGTGAGATTCTAAACTCTGGGTACATTTTTGCCTTCCTTCTCCCCTTACCCCCCATCTAGGGCATTTGCCCGTTTTTCCCGCCTGCTGTCACTGCCTCAGTGCGTCTCAGAAGACAGAAGCCTCCCACCCATCTTCCCATCTCTCTTTTGCATTCAAATCCGTGTGAGGCCCCTGGCAGGTCCAGGAGAATTCTTCTAATTCCATCACACCCTGCCCACAACTGCCTGGTACTTTGTCTTGCCTTGGAAACATCTCCAGACTCCTGAGCAGGGCACAGAAGTACTTGTACCATGTGGCCCAGCCTACCTTTAAGTCTTACTTCTAACTCCTCCCTCACAGCCCCCCACCCCCGCCCCCGGGCACACAGGGCTCCTCCTATACCTCATGAAGCTCCCTGCCTTTTGTCACCATGTGCCCTCTGATGGAATGACCGTTTTTGCACCCATCCTTGTGGACATGGCCATGTTCTAATTTTACCTCTTTATCTTATCATCTTCTTTTGGTCCCTTGGAAGGAAGTGCTCTGTCTTGCCTCTGTGTTCCCACCCAACTTTGCATTCCTCCCAAGGGGATTTTAATGAGAGATACAGATATTCACAATACTTTATAAAGCATAGTCTAAAAAGTTAGGGTCATATCTTGTTCATAGTTGAGTCCTGGGTAAATATCTTCTCTTTATAGTGACTAGTAGGCAGTCAATGAAATTCTCTCAAGTTCTGGGCATTCTAGTGCACGGACACATTTGGTTGTCATAACATGTATCTTTTTTTAATGTGCATGTATGTGTGTGTATATGAATGTGTGTGTGAAGGCCAGAGAACAGTCTTGGGTGTCATCCTCAGGAATGCTGTCCATTTCCTTTGAGGCAGGGTCTCTCATTGGCTTGGAGCTTATCAATTAGGCTAGACTGGCTTTGAATCCCAGGGAGTCTCCTGTCTCCACAGTCCCAGTGCTGGGAGTATAAGCACAGGCCACCATGCCCTGCTTTTTTTTTCCCTGCATTCTAAAATAATTAATTATAAAATGGATTGCAATTCTTATATCATAAGTATTTGTTA